CTTTGAATAGCTAATTCTGATGATACACTATCTTGCATGCTTTTCACTAGCTGCCTAACAAAGCAGATTCGTTTTTAAAGGAGCCAACCCAGTTTAAAAGCCTTTTACAGCGCTTTCATCACATTCAAAAAACTTTGGCATGAGTCTTGACCCAGCAGCAGTGTCCTTTACACACCACTAGCCTAATCCTGAAATGATTTTAAATTACATTTTGGATTTACAATTCATCAAGTTGTCCTGGCCCCTCAGTTAAGAGCAGCACTCAAAGTCTGCTTCAACCTGTTTTTATAGATATTACTTGAAAGCATCAGCTCTTCTCAGACTTTTTTGAGCTGTCAACCCTGTTTTATAGACAACTTTCAGCATATTCTTCTGAAAGTTGATCATTAAGCTTTTAGGAAAAAGATTTTCATATTGCTTTTACTGTACTACCCACAAGCCCTGTGAAATGCTCATGAAGAGTCAAGGACTTCATATTTTAACTTCCCTTTGCAAAGCATTCAGGTTTTTTTTAGAGGCATTTGTAAGTATTCAAGTAAAGTAAGGAGTATGAAGTTGTGACATATTACTCTATATATTTAAAGAATAAACAATTTCAATAAAAGAATATGGTAGAGGGTTAGTGGATCTAACCATTATTATTAGGTTTTGCTTTCATTTAAGCTGCAGCTCTTGTTTCAGCATCACTTATCAGCCATTGTTCATATTATTAAATAAACTAAATATACTACTGAAAATCTTCAGCTTCTAGAAAAGCAAAAATTCTTTCTTCCTAGAAGATACTTTCCCCCAAACATTTATTGTCTGTTTCCTGTCCCATTCCCCCACCCTGAGTTTCCACCCAGTATAAAAATCAATTTTGATCTAGTCAGAATTCTATAGTAACTATGCACACACACAGTACTTAGCCACGTTCACTTCATTGATACTCTGTATGCTACATTTTCTGCATCTATTTCAAATACATAAGATGCTAGGAAAGCCCAGCTTTTAAAGACCACAAGTAACACAGTGCAAACAAAAAAAAAAATCAAAAATCCTAACATAATTTATGTCAAGGAGTCTGAAATACCTATCAGAAAAACTGGAGAAGATGAAATGCGCATGGTTAAATTCTCACAGATACAATGCAGGTTGAATCTCTTTAATTTGAATCTGCAGTAAAAGTCACTTCAGAGGATAACAAGACATGAATTAATTTTGCATTCTGGTACATAATTAACGTCTAAGAAAAGGTTAATCACATAAGATTACAACAGTAATACTGTTACAGCTATGCTGGTCTAAGAATACAAGGCAAGACTGGTAGAGCAGATCTAATGGAAGAGATTAGTTCAGTCACATGAACATGAAAAGGTCACAGAAACACTTCCATGAAAGCAGCCCTTTCCCTAGACTACCTCAGTTCATCCAGTAGATGGAGATTTACATCTCCTGCTATAAACTTAGATTACTGAAGCATTTTCAGGTATCTGCTGCATACTCACTTCAGTAAGGGTTTTATGTTCCTATGCAGATGATATTTAAGACTTCAAACTGATGATCAATAAGCTAGTGTTTGGTACTACCTTTGTCTACTTAGCCTGCTGCAGAACTTTTGCTAGTGAACTCTATAGAAAAGACTTGTGTTATCTATTCTACATTTATCTCAATTACCTCAGAAAACACACATTCCTCCATTCTGATGAAAGACAGCAGCTTGCATCCATATCAATATTCAAGTGAATAACAGCATTGTACATTAACAGAGAATCAAGCATTAGAAAAAAAAATCACCAAAAACAATCATGACAGCAATAAGCATCTTTATGCATCTTTAACATTTTTTGCAGCAATTTTGACAGCATTTCAAAAAAGAAAAAAGAACAGAAAAACAAAAGAAAAAGAACAACTCGAGGCAGAAACAGCTCAAACAATTAACAATACAGTGCTGTGATATTTAAGTCCCAGTGACTCAAAACTAAACTTCACTAAATTTAATGAGCTTCTAAACTGCTTCCAGGCAACACCAAAAGCACTGTCAGTCACATGTGGCTATGACTTTCATCGGGCATCTAAACAGCACACAAATCTGCAGCTTTGTAGCTACTGGCCTATAGAGCACAGCTTTTAAAGGAACAGAATCACAGAGGGAAAAAAAAGCACCACCAACAAAACTTACATTAGAAACTGCCAGATGAAAAACAACAGAACACCAACTAAAACCAAACTTTTGCAACCATCAAAACACAACTTTAAGAGAAAAAATAAAACAATACATCACACACAATATCATTCAAAGACTGCTTCTGTAGATATGTTGGCTACATGCTGATGTCTACCCAAGTCTCCAATTGCTGATAGTGCACAAACGTCAATGAAAATACAGAGATCCCCTCCTAATGTTACTTTGCACAAAAGTAAGTGTTGCAGCTTGTGCTTGTCACTGCACTGGGATGTAAAGTGATCACAGAACAAGAACTGTTACTGGGATTAATGGTAAGATACTAACACTATCTATCATCTATCACTTTAACACTTTAAAACGTTAAGAAGTTTTGTTGCTGTAGCACACAGTGCTGTGTTTTACATACTATTACTGAGAGCCTGATCACCTGAAAAAGACAAACTAAAAGGCTAGTTATTATTGCCAATGTCAGGCATCACAGAAAAAAAAAAAAAAGAAGGATTTCACTGTTGCCTTAGCTAACAAGGCTGCAATCCCCAAAGCTGTACACTGGAGATATGTAAACTTGAGATCATTTACTCAGTTGTTTCTGTAGTTTGGAGACATCTTGCCTTTCCAGAAGGATGTAAGCCACAACAAAGTCACCTACAGGTGACAGCTACACTTCTAACTTTATCATGTTACTGGTGATTACTGCTACATCTTCCCATTGTGCTATATGTTCTAAGGAAAGCCAAGTACAACACATTCTAGATGATCTTGGTGTATGACTGACTGAACAATCTTATTTACATTACAACTTCACAAAACTTTACACCCTAACACCTAAACTGCTTCAGTTGCTCTTAACTCCACAAAACTCAACCCAAAACGGAATACTTTTTTTTCTGGTGCCTGCCTCAAGCAGAGAGAGAAATCATTTTAACCTGAATGAGATAAAGAAAAATAAATAAATAAATAAATAGAAGTTGTGTGCCCAGCTTTTTTGGAAGAAGTGAAGACTGTTTTTGGAGTCACTCTAGTTGCCTGGAAATTTCAAGCTGTTTTTTTATAGCATAAATATTTCTACTTGAGAAAAAAATCCATGTAATTGTGCCCGTAACATATAATTCTAGAAGGAAAAAAAAAAAAATCAAAGAAAATCCCAAAAGTGAAGTCTCTGACAGCTCACAATGGCTGAGTACATCAGAAGTTGTGTTTGTTTGTTTTCCTGTTAGGGTCTAAATAAATCTATTCCCGCCATGTTAGTGCAGACCAGAGGACACATTCATCATTCCTATTAAGAAACTGAGCATCCTCTTACTGATCTGAAGCACACACTGTAAACCTTCCATTTCCGTGTTGTCTGTATGCCACCAAGAAGGTTGCATAAAGAAAGCTGTACTAGTTACAATTTGAATGAAAGGTTCAAGCAAAGGGGGAAAAGGTGTAAGAGAGAAAAGAAATTTACGAAGAACTAGGGAAGAAAGAGACAGACTGTCTAAGCACAAAAACTCGGAGTTTGGCTCATCTCCCCAGTCCTGTCTCTCCCAAAGCTAAGGAAAGACTGGATTCTTGGAGCCTGTTCCAGGAGTCCTTGTTCTTCTCACATCGATGAACTCACTTGCAAAACATCCTTCTCCCTCAGTACTAGTGTAGTTCCCACTGCCATTGATGTTACTACATCAGTTTAAATGGCAAAGCTCTACACAAACACATTTCAACCCAACAGATAACCCACATGGCTATCAGTAAGATGTCACACCGTGCTGTTATGTTTGCACTAGTTTTATTTTTAACTACAAATAGAGCATTAGGGTTACAAACTCACACAAATTAAGAAAAGCTACAATTAAGACAGCCTTGTGCAACCCTCATCCACCACTTTGTGTGCTTGTATTAAGACAGTCTGTACTTAAAATCCCGCATTCTGTGTTCTCGAGGTGAACATTCTCTACAAATGAACCCGGAAACAGAACAAGAAAATGTTTACTCTACACTTAATGCCCTACTGGTTTGAAAAGTTAAGGAGACCGTGATGCATACATAATGTAAGACTGCAAAGAGAAAAGGCAAAAGGAAACCAGGGAACAAGGCTACCAAAAGCTTTCCTTGCCACAGCCACAAAGTTTCTACACAGTAGGCCGGTTCCTTCCCCAGTCTTTATATTTTTTTATGTTTTTTAATGTTTCTTATTTTATGAATATCTATTTAGATAACCTGGAATCTAATTTGTGCACATACTCAGCACTTCTGGTGGCAACTCCAACCTCTGCTTTAAATGTAGGAATTGCTTTACACCATGAAGTACAAATAGAGACAAGACAGTATTTTAGTAACATTCCTGTTAGGTGAAGGAAGTTCATTACTATTAATTACTTTGATGTTATGTTGATAACCAGCAAAGGAGTACTCAGAACTAACTTAATATATCTGCTTTTTGAGAAGGCTTTGGCTAATATAGTTTAAATAAAACTGGTCCTACACAGAAAACCCTGAGGTTAAAACTAAATACCAGACAGCAGCGGATTAAGTGAATACAATCTATCTTAATGCCACAGCTGTATGAAAAAATAATTTGTACATATGCATTCACATAGCTAAAAGGTATAGCTAAAATAAGTGCTTACGCTGAGCCATAACCCTGCACAATTTATACCTCATCACAAAAAAAGACCAACCTGAAGAGTAAATCAAGAGCTGAAGTTGTAAATAGTGTAAGAAGTTCAGTTATACCCTTAGAGAAGCCATGGAAGTCTATGCAACTTCTAAGCAAAGGAATTGTGCTAAGAGATGTTACAAAAAAAAAATAATTAAATACCTGATTTACAAATAAAAGGAAGAAGACACTTACCTTATTGCAGTAAAGCATCCAGAGCTCATACAGCCTCTCCCGGGATGCCATTCCTCCCCTTCCTCTTCTGCCTGACACCAGCGACTTCTGTTCAAGATCCTACCATGCTCCGTTCTCAAGTGCTCTTTCCGCAGTTTTTGGTTTATTATTAGTTATATCATAACCCAAGAAGAAGTCAAGGATTAAAATAACAGGGTCTCAGCCTCTCCTTTTTGGGTAAACAACGTAGCACAACACAAGCGACTGAAGACAACAGTCGAGCATGTCCGTTCTTCGCCAGGGGCACTTCGGGCGTAATCTCTGGAAGTGAAAACATACCCTTCAGGCCTGTGGGCGAGGAAGGAGGAAAAAAACACCACAAATCCGGACTTTAAAGCCCACAGACGACCTCGGGAACTACACGGAGGGCGGTCGCGTTGCTCTCGTGCCCGGCACTACGCTCGCTGCCTCATCCTTCTCGGAAGGAGCGAGCTGAGGGGAGGCAAGGTGGCGGAACCGCGCCTCGCCCGCCCGCCACAGGGCACGCCACGGCCCCGGTTCGGCAGCCGCAGCCCCAGCCCCGGGCTCCACAGCCGGCCGCAGAGCCCGGCAAACCGAGGCGGCGGCTGCCCCAACACCGCCGCCGGCCGCGGCCTTTCCCGTTCCCCGCGGGAGAAGCCCAGCGCCGCGCTTCGCCGCCGCCTCCCGGGCCAGCCCCACCACCCCTCGCCGCCACCTACCGAGACCCCGACCTCTCCCGGCTCCCCCCCCCCGCACCACCGCGGCCTCTCCTCTCCCGGCAGCCTACCCGGGCCACGGCGGGGGGCGGCCGGGCAACGCTGGGCTGTGGAGGGGGCCGGGCCTCGCTACATCGCCCGCCCCGCCCGCATTCCGGCACACGCCCCGGGCCGCCGCCGGGGGGCGGGCAGCCCGCGGCCGCCATCTTGGCTGCGCCGGCCGGGCACAGCCTTCCCGCGGGCGGAGCGCCCGGGGCTGGGTTCCTGAGGGAGCCTGTACCTCACACACACAGAGCTCGTGTAGAGAGAGCACTCCTAAATGTCAGATTTCTGAAAGAATTGTGAAAAGGCTTCCCTCTGCTTACTGGTGTGGCCCTTCTCAAGCACGTCAGCAGTGTGCTGAACAACCCAAGGCAGGACACACAGCAAAGGGCTTTTCCTGCGTGCTGCTTCCATAACGTGACGCTTCCACTGCTGCCAGAGGGATCTCCCAGACAGTGAGGCACACGGGCACCCCTCCATCCATCTGCTCCCTCAGAAAGTGAGTCTGGAGATAAATCAGGGCAAGGTAGCTGCAAGGAGACATCTTCTAGGGGCAGCACTTTTTTCCCTGTGTTCTGTCAGGAGAATCCCATCCCTACGATCCCAAGGCTTCAGCTCTACTCCTGCCACCCTTTCGTCTCACCCAGGTAAATCTCAGGAAGCTTCACTTGAAGCAGAACTCACCATTCGCTGTATAGTCAATTCATTTGTAGGGGATTTCCACAGCTCTCCAATGGTTCATGTTGTATTTGGAACCCCCCTGCAAAGGAATTCATTGATCGTGCTATATAGTCATATCATCTGCTGTATAAAAAATTGCTAGAGTTGGATATGTGTTACTAAGAGCACAGATAGTTTGAGATCAATTCCTGCACATAACTTTGATTGCTTTATTCTTCAGTAAGTTTCCCTGTAAACATTTAGGAACTGATCAATGCTCAGTGTTAGGCCATGCCAATCAGCAGTGCAGGTGTAGAAGTATATTTCCCTGCAACATCTGAACATAGTTCTTGCCATGGGTGGAAGGAAACTGACCAAAAACAAAAAACAAACAAACAAACACCACAAACACTCTAAAATTATATTTAGTTGTGTCATACATGTGTTTTGGTGCTCAGTACTAGCCACAATGCACTCCCACCTTGAGGTTGCTATGTGATTTTTTTTTTCAGTCAATAAAAAAAACAAGTTCAGAGTCCAGTACTATCCTCAGAGCAGGGTCTGCTATGCTTAAAGCACCTCAGACCCCTGCCCAAAGGCAGCCTTCAGGAAGGGGGGACATCTCGCCTCCTCCCTGGAGAACTTACCTCAGGGCTTGAGTTACGCTGGCAGCTCCTCCGTGACAGCCAACCTGTGTTGCCTGTGGAGTAAATGCAAGTCAGTATTATTTGTCCTTTCACAATAATGAGGTGAAAAACAAGCTCTTTGTAACATACTTTGACATTTAAGAGTTATTTCATCTTCTTAGTGTCTTTTCTAGAATAAACAAAAGCTTATTTCAAACTTTCCTTACAACTTGCTTCTTTGGAGGCCTACGGAACACTAAATACAAACTCAAACTTTCTTTGAGATATTGCTCTATTTTCTTTTATTACTAATTTTTGCAAGTGATAATTGCTGTTCTCATATACAGAATACTGCAGTAGGCCTCAAGGAAGCAACAGGCTCACATGCTAATAAAAATGTGATACACCTGCCTTATTAAGTACTTCCACCCACCTAATTGGGATGCTCTCAGACTATAAAGCAGCCATTTTCCCCTCTATTAGAGCTATGGAAGTATAGTATATCTTAGGGGTTTAAGTAATGACTGATATTTTCTCCTTTTGGTACAGGCGTTTGATAGGTATTGTGTATTCACCAACTCTGTAATGAGGTCTTTGTTGTGGTAGAAAAATAAGAGAGTTGTGTGGAGAAAAATGGGCTACAGTTTCATCCTTGTAGGTCTAGTATACTTTTTATGTATATCTTAATGCTTATCCTCAGAAAAATCTAGTTAGGGTTATAAAAGTCAAAGAACAGAGGAAGATTTTTTATTTTTTTTTTTTTTAGAAAAGAATTGCCACCTATGAACATATGTTTTAAAGTGTGAGTACTTAAAGAGTAATCTATTCATGGAAGTTAACTGTAAACTTGTTATTGCTTGACTGACTTCTTATCATCTTTACTTTTATAATTATGTACTAATTGCTTCATGAACCCTAAGCAGCCAGGTAAGAGGTGTTCATTTGTGTTTCATTATCCTTGAGCTGCTGTCTTGTCGTAAGTATCTATTTATAACAGTGTTTTTTCCCACACTCTGTTCATCACTTGTGGTTTTGTAACTTATATCATTTCAGTAGCTGTATGTTAGTGTCTTACTACACATTGAACTTTTCAATTAGGAAGTTTCATTAATAGAATGGGTGGTGAGAAAGATGTGGATAGGGAAAAAGGCAGTAATTTAAGATCAAGAAGAGTATCAGTGATCGAACTGGCTGTATTTGTTTGCAGCTTTGAATCTAGCAGTCTCCAAAGCTGAAGAAAACAACAAAGAACAGACATTTTATAATAATGTTATTTCTGAATTATATTTTTCTTTAGAAGCAAATGGGATAGTCCATACTGACTTGCAGATAAAATCAACCGGGTTTTTTCCTAAGGCTTCTGCTAAGATCATGCCCTGGGCTAGCAGAAGAGCTCAGATACTTGGCAGGGCTTGAGTCTGAGGTTTTCCTTAATGTCTTAAGGCTGATGTATTGTTTACAAATAAAATACTAATAATGAAAATGTGAAATATGCTCAGAAATGGGCCTGCTTCTAAACTTTTCCATTGTTCTTTAGCCACAGAGCCTTGTGAGGACTCATAGAGTAATCCTTATATTGTAAGTGGCCTTGGTAGCTAGGTGTAAATCTCCAGCTACCAAAGTACCTTTTTCTGTATGTAAAGAAATAAATATTTGTGAATCCTACTTTTTAGGCCCTCAGGCCTGATTAACCTTGCATGTGGGGTGGCTATTGGAAAGGAGCATGCTGGCTGTTGCAAGATGCCAAGGCCTCTGAGATGGTGGTTCGCAGAGGGCAGCACAATGCTGGCTTCTCTTGAGTTTCTCTGCCTGTGATTACACAAACTGAGTGTGCTCTTGTTGCAATGGGTAAGGTAGCAAACTTAACCAGCATTCAGCCTTCCTTCTGTCACCATGTTCATGTTGTGCCCCAGGTAATTTAGGACTTGTTAATTGTTTGCAGGATTTGGAAATGGGAAGGAATTTGTTTGCCCCTTGATACATAAGCTAGTATCTAAAGACTTTAGTTGCTTTCTTTCCAAATGTTGGAGACTGGCCACAGCTATATGTGGGAAGTGATGATCTGGCTAATAGCATTAAGTCCCTTTTGTCCCTGGTTGCACTGCTTTTATGTATTCAGGCTTAAAACATTCAGCAGACTTAACTTCAAGAAGGAATTTACCCCAGGATGGCCTGGAACCACGGTGGTTTTGTCCTCTGTACTTTCAGCTTGCTTCCCTAAGGGGCCTTCAATATAATGAATTCTGTTGTAAGGGCCTGGGCCTTTTTGATCTTTCACTCCTTTTCTGTATCAGGAGCTTCTTTACTAGAAGCCTTAAATCTGAAGTTGTGCTGGGAGGATTCTTGTATATGGTGCACTTCCAGTCTAGTTAGTATGCAATAATAGAGACTGTTCTCCATCAAAACTGGAACTGGCTTCTCATGCAAAGAAAACCACCTCTTTGTATCTACCATATTATTGCCAGTGCTCAGTAATGCTTTCATGTCAGATCATTCTGGTTTGGTTAAGAAGTCATTCAACAAATGATTTCATTATGTTCCAGTGCTTAGAAGGTCTACTGTGACTCCTGAAAACATTTAGTGCCAAAAAAAAAACCACCCAACAACATGGCAGCTGTCAGGGGTTGAGAATGTGTAGGTATTGGCAGTCTGTGGCAATCTGTCTGGACTCCCTACCTTCTCTGATGGCAGGGTAAGGCTGTTTGGAGAATGTGAACTAAATAAATTTACAGCCTGTGGGCCCCCTGTCAGGTTAACTTCCTCTTGGCTTGGGCAGGACCCATATAAAGGGAAGCAACTGAAGGTAAATGGGCTCAGGAAAGCTCCAATGCTGCTAAAGGTGGCGTTCTTGCAAGATGTTAGTGTTGTGGTCTCCTAGAAGCAGGGCTGTTGGCTGCAGCACAGTACCTCCGTCTGAGTGAGGTGTGAAACCTGCCCTCTGCCCATGTGAATCCTCCAAGGGCTCTGCTAAACCAACTTTGGACACAGAAAGGGTATACAGACCTGAATGATGGCCAGTGTTGTAAAACGGGAAAGCAGAGTTTTTAGAAGATCCTGCAGTGTTGTGTAAACAGAATGTTGGTAAAGTATGTGTGAGATTTCTGGGGGCCCACCTGCATACTGAATGGGTTGTAGACTCCTAGCATAATGGGGCTCTCTTCTAGTTTCTGACCTGAGACCCTAGGGAAAGCTACTCCTTCTCCCTGCTACTGAGGGTCAGCAGGAGTTCATGCCTACAAAGTGTGAGGTCCTGGCTAAACAAAGGAGCACACTGTAAGCCCTGATCAGGAAATGGGAGCTCTGTAGTCCTGCACAGGACTGCCTGATTTGATGCCAAATGGCAACAGGAACTGTTGGGCACTATGACTTTCTTCATCATGAAGAAGTGATTAAGCAACTGAAGTTTATTTTGGTATCAGAGTGTCAAATAGTCATTGACAGAAGTAATTGGTCAATATTGCAAATACTGTAAATGCTTCTCTCTGTCTGAAGTCAGAGACCTAGTGTTACCACTGAAAGGTGGCTGAGCAGTACCTCTGTGATGAAAGTGGCTATGAACTTAGTACTTGAACTGTTTTTGAGAGTAGCATAGCTTTTATGGGGCCCTTTAAGATGTAAGGTATGCCCTATAGTAAATTCAAGCATAGTGCTGATCCCATGGGTTCAGTTACAGGTAGGATTTGTTGGTGTATTCTCTTCCTGATCATAAATTAAGAATGTATTTAATTTTTTTCCACTAAGGTCTGAGAAAATACTTTTCTTCAGAGGTGCTTCTTTTTTTCTTTTTTTGATTTGGGACTGCAGATAAAAATTCAGCTTGGCAATTTAGATGCAGATTTCTTCTGTGCTTGGGCATCACTCAGTATTGGCTCATCTCCACTGGCTGCAGGGCAACTGCTCCTACCAGTAAAGTAAGGACGGGTTCTGAAACCCACCACAGTCACCAGACAGTTTCTGACTGCTGGGCTTTCAGTCGAAGGCTTAAAAGCATTGCAAGAAATAGGGGCCTAGCCCATATAGGCTCTAGAACTCCTTGGCCTTAATATAGCACTAATGGCACTACTCAGAGGAGTGTAGCTTAAGGAACTGCTGATTAGGAAATGTCCAGTGTTGGCTGAAAGGATCCAACTCTGGCAGTCATGGTGCCCCAGTCACTGAATTGCCTGTACTTGCCAGGTTGCAGGAGGTGCTGCAGTCTCCGGAACTGTGGCTGCTCATAAAAAAAAAAAAAAAACACACCTTTCTTTAGGGATGTGATGAGACAGGATGTCCCTGCAGTTGTTCTCTTGCAGAGAAGGGCAGTCACTCCTGAACTCCAGCATCCTGCCTCTGAAGTCATTCCTCTCATAGGTCTGTAGCTGGCTGTGCTCCTGGGGCTGCAAAGGCAAATCCAAATGTGGTTGCATGGGATGCCAACCAGCAGTTTGCAGGTGCATTCCGGATGCTAGTAACACAGCAGTGAATAGCCACTGATATGTGGAGAAACATCAGTTTAGTCAAATCTGACTGGGCCCTGATAGGTAAAGCAGCACTATTGTGGGTCCTTTTTCTCTCTGGTGAGAGCAGGACTGCTGCTGCTTTGGAAGAGTTGCAGTAGGGCAGGGAGCACAAGTGGGGACTAGCTGAGATCACTACAATGCAGCTGTTGTGCAGTTAGGAAATAAAGGAATTAGTTCTCCTACATCTGTACTGTGCTAAAGCTTTCATCTCTTCTAATGATGCAGGAACAAAACAAGATCATTGTGATCAAACCAAGTTAATTATTGAGCACTCCAGGTCTTAGTGGGCAGCAGTATTTTAGTAGCAGTGAAATTGAGTTAGAGAAACTTAAATCAAGTGGCATTGTCTTGTGATATTACATTTGTTTGAAATACAGCACTTCAACCTTCTTTTCCTGTATATCTTAGAAGTATAAAAATAGGTGAAGCTTTAGGTCTCTTTCAGCAGATGACAAACTCAAAGGAAAACCAGACAAAAATTAAAACAATATTTCTGCATTTGAAAGCTTCCAAGTACACTAAAGCCTTTCTTCAAGTCAAGTTCTAGAAAGCCTAGGTAACAAAACTAACATTTGGCATTTCCTCTCTGCTATTGACAGACTACTGAACGATGTTTACAAACACACTTATCCCCAAGGAGTTGTATGTGGACTAGGTTGTTTGTCAGTGCTCTGTTCACTTGCTGTTCATACCTTTGCAATTTTTGCCAGGGCTTAGTTGTGAGACTTGAGCATGTGGGAGGAGCTAGCAGTCCTTTATATAAAAGGCACAGTGCTGCATCCAGAGGAATAGGATAAAATCTTTTTTTATTCTTTAAAAAGAATAGATGTGTTTTCCTCTCTGTTGGCTTTCTCTAAACAAAAGGCAATAACAGTAGATTCTGGGGTACCAACTTTGTAACCCTCAGTAAGCAGAGGATCAAAGCAAAGAGTAAGTCAAGTGATATTTCCTTTATTTTACTGATGGGAACATATGCAAGAGGAAGTGCTGGAACTCCTGTGTCTGAATTGCCTCATGTCACTTTATTTTTAATCTCTCCCTGTTCCTTCATTATATGAGACAAAGGCTTTCTAAAGCATATGGATTCCTGGTGACTTTGCTGTAAAACAACTATCAGAGTGTGCTAATAAAAACTGCGCTGGTTTTCAACAGCCTTCAGAACCTGTGGGTTCATCTTAGACTTGAGCCAAAATATCTGCAGTCACACAGTATCTGTGATGTGAGGAGCCTGGTTATTCACATCTTCCAACTGCCTGCAACTGGTATGTTGTTGTGACAGCTGTTTTTTACATGGAGACTTGAGTTTTTCTGGGGTGCAGAAGCACTCAGTGTAAGCTAGAGAAAACACGCTGCAGGCCAACAACTGTAGTGCCTTCCACCAACCATAAAATAAGTTTATGTAAACTCAGAAGACTTGTTGACAAAAACTTGGATGCTATCTGTGAATTGCCAGTACTCCTCTCCCTCTCTAGCACCCTTTTTCTTAATGTGAGCTTGACATTCTCTGAGCATTTGCAAACAAAATCAAGTAAAACCTCCCAGCGCTTCTTGAAAACCAGGTGTTCTATTTCAGGTGGAGAACTTGAGTCATTTACTCTGAAAATTGTAGGACAGGGCAGTCAGGAATCCAGGTACCCTGACTATCCCTCTGATCACTGAGTAACACTTCTGTTCATTCTTGCCTTTGCCAAAAGGAATGCCAATGTGTAGAGTACACATCACTACAGAGCCATGTTTCTCAATTGCACTAATGGAGCTAGATACTTTGGAGTACATCAGCATATTGTAATTGCCATCTGCAGAGCTAGTCTGTTTTTCTTCATTTCAGTCTTGCTGAAAGCAAAGACTGAAATTTTGATTCTGAGCAGGCAAGCAGATAACTGTGCTTGAACTAATGTTATTTTGCAAACCTGGGTTAGTAAATTAACCCAAGCATGGTGGCACGCCCATTTGCAGTTCCTACAAATGCACAGTATTCAGCATTTGTGAACAAGAGGAAATGCTTTTTCAAACCTCTGCCTTGGGAGCTGAATGTTTCATGCACCATTGCTCTTTGGCTGAAGAATAGTGTTCTGCAAACCAGATGATTGTGGCAGCTGGACAGCCTACTTTGTGCAATAAGGAAGGGCAGGCAGGAGGACAGCGTTCCACGTACAAACGGAAGGAAGAGAAGGGTAAGACACTATTTGCCTCCTCAGTGTTGCCAGGGAAAGGTTTGTGAAGCTCACTAACAGGTTATTGTTGCTAATGGGTTGTATTTGAGTGTGAGACAATGGATAAATGAGGCCTCTGGTACAGCAAGTAGAAATATGGATTTTAAGCAGTCTGCCTCACTGCTGTAGGAGTTGCTTGGCTTTATTAAAGGACTCCATTAACTGAGTGTTTACCAAGTAAAACAAATAAAAGCCAGCCATTTAAAGCCCAGATGAAATGACTTAAAGATGTAGATAAAGTTAGAGGGTGTCCTGGTGGTTCAGTTCTTTCTACTGCTTTCTCTTTCCAAATCTCCAGCACTTTGATAAAGAGGGTCAGTATACCTCTAACTGTGCCTGAAAGTCACTTGGAGGGAGCAAGGGATATTTAGAACCTACTAGCCAAATTAGGGAGAGGTTAAGATGTGAGATCCCCTAACTGTGTTTTGTTACATTTTATGATGGCTCTCATTCATTACTGCACAGAGTGCCTGCTGGCACAGAATTCAGGTGATTAGTAAGCATATATGTAATTACCTGAAGGATAATTAATGCTGCAGTAGACTTTCCCCAGCACAACAGGATGTGGTCCTGTTTCTAATCCACTCTGGTATGCTTATGTCATTCCTTCTGCATGCCGAATAGCCTGGCAACTGAGGGATTTGGCTGGATCTCCTGCCAGAGCAGATCAGTGCAGCTCTGCAGTTGGTAGAGGCAGGGTGACTGACACCAGCTGATCGCCTAGCTCATGAAGTACGGGTTCACTGAAAGGTGCTTTATATAGGTGGTGTGATTTAAGGAGTTAAAATAATTTCTGGAGGAAACTGAGTACAGCTGGGACTGGGGTGGTAAGCGTTGCTGGACTAGTGGTAGCATGGAGTAGCTTGTTTGTACCATGGGGTGTAAAGAATTTGATGCCAAATACAGTGTTCACTTTGTTCTGTGTTCCACTTCATCCTTCTGTCCTTTTTCACCTCAGTATATCACTAGATATAACTATTAATAGGTCTGATTCCCTCATCTTATTTTTTCCTCAATTTTACAAGTTCTGATCTAGGAATGGGTGCCAGTTCTATGGAGTCTGGTTAGCAATATGCAGTCAGACCTTTAACATTTATTTAATGTACTCTGAAGAAGCTGGATAACTAGTAGTTTTTTTGTAGGTGTTTTCCCTTTCCTCTGAAAAGGCAAAAGAAATCAGATTTCACTCTGGACTGCACAGCTATAATTCATTTGTAGTATTGCAGGAACATTAGTTTGAACAAGGATTTTGGAATGCAGTCACTGTTTACTTAGCATGGGAGCAATAACTTGGTGCAAGTCAACCAACCTCCGCAAAGAGCATTTTGGTATTTACTGCGTCGTAGCCAAGGAATCTTTTGTATTCCCCAGGTTTCAGCCTGAAGTCGAGCATCTCATACAAGATTCAAGAACCATCTAAAACACTGAGGGAATAGGTCTCAGGGAGAGGGCTGTCTTCTTGGACTGATGGGCAAGCATCAGTGAGTTCATTTGACCTTGGAAGCAGCCTATTTCATAAAGCTAAATCTTATGGGAAACAGATCTTAGCAGTGGCAAACATAGCAGAAATGTATGGAAGACTGGAATTTAACTTTCTGATATTACTGAACAGTTTTTCTGCAGAGTTATGAGAAGCATGGGTATGTAGGGTACTTCCATAGTTGGTAAGATACTATACAGTGTAACCCAGAGCAGTGGAAGTGCTTTAACAAGTACTAATTCTTTGTTACGATTCAATGACAAAAAACATATTAAGTCAATTTGAAATAGGTATAACTTTCCTAGCATAAAATGGTTCAATTGGTTATGAGCAAGCTGTGCACATCGTCCCACAGCAGAACTTGACAATGGCATGTGCTGCTAGATGTTCTTTGTGTAATATAAAAACATTCTTTACCTGGTGGCAGTCAATCAGCTTTATTTACTCATTTAAGTATGAGCAGGCCCTGAAAATAGCACTGACATTAAACAGCTTATTTACTTCATCTCCAGTGAAATTTTGCACTGCATTCCTGAATGTTGCCTGTCTCTTGAGTTACTTGAGGAGGGTGTGTAACTATACTCCTAAAGGGTAAAGCAGGTTTTTCAAACTGATAGAATGCCAAGGAGAACTCACCTGTAGTATTACATGGCAAGATATGGTGGAGCTGCTGAGACTGAACCACTTCTGGAAGTCAGGATAGTCTCCCTGTCTTAAGTACTGATATCTTCAGCAATTGGGCTTTATGTAAGTCATCCAGCTGTCTCTTTCCCACTCACATGCAGTTGCATTGTTTCACATGGAGCTGTAGGTCAGGGTGGTCACTGCTGCATTCATAGCAGTAGCCCCAGAAGCTCTTGTCTTCATTTAAAAAAAAAAAGCTATCAACTCTTGTGAAGACTCCTAGTCCATCCTAGTATGTCTCAGGGCAGGGTTCTGGCACTCTGGGTCTTCCACTACCTTTCCTGTTTTGGCAGCTTGCTGAGGTGAAAGCTGAGAGTTGTGAGCAAACACTGGTTGCTTTTATATACCACAGTCCTGCTTCTGCATCTGCAAAGTGTAACACAAGGGCCTATTCTAAGCTCTGAGGAGACCTCATGTGTTTTTTTTTTTTTAGTTACCATGTTCATTCCATTTACGTCATAGGGCTTTTTTAAATCATTTGCTGATGCTGTAAGGAAATTACTGTGTAACTGTAGAGTGGCTGTGCTTTGAGCTGGTATCAGCTGCTTCAGGTGGTGTAACTGACCCAACGGGGATGTGTCCAAAAACTTTCTTCTTTATAGTACCTCCTTGTCTGAAAAGCCATCGGACTGGGTGGACCTGAGCAATTTCTAGGTCTGTTGTACGTCTTTACTCTGATCACACCTTTGTCTAAATCTGTTCCATGGTGGTTCAGTCTTCTTTTTGTGAGAGCAGGAGAGGAGCTCTGCCTCCACTTTGTCACCCGTCTCCATCTCAAGTGGTGGTGTTGGCTTTTGGCCTTCTAATCTCTTTTATTGTGTACTGATTTCTAACATAGCCATGTGTTATGAGGAAATAGCAATGAAAACTATTTCTGTTCATGGTGGGTGGTTAACTGCTGCATCCCTGAAGACTACACAGATTGCTACATCAAATGTAGGAACAACTCAAAGGATTCTATTAGATGTTTACCAGTGTATCTGAATTAGTTGCTGATACTATAAATCAGTTCTTTCCTGTGAAAGTTTATTTTAAAAAATGAAGAGAAGCAAGCTACATCAAACCTGAGTTTCTCTCTATCTGGAACTGGAAAGTGTTGTTTTTAGCACTAAAGCATAGCTATTGTGTTATGGAAAACTTTATTCCTTCCTTTTGGAGCTTCTCCTGTCATTTTTTCCTGTTTGTTTGATGTGGGGCTGGATCAAACCTTGACTAGTTCTATGGTTATCAGTTTCTTGAACCTAGATCTTAGGCTCTTTAAAAATGGGCTACATCATAGAATATGCAAAGCTGGTTATATAAATATTTTGTAACACCACTAGGTGAGACTTAAGATCAAAAGAAAACTACTATACTCCAAAAACAGAGTTATGATCTTACATGTTTGGGAAAACTCATTCAAGCATGTAAAGACCTTGTCAACATGATTTGTCAGTTAACTTGGCATTCACCTTTGTAGATCTAATTTAAGAGCTCTGTTTGCAAGTACGTAGTCTCCACCTCCAATGGAACAAATGAGCATTTGTGGATGCAGCAGGTTTGTGAGACCTAGAGTACAGCTTTGCTTACAGGGTTTCAGGCCAAAGAAAAGGGCTTTCAGTGCTGTGGTAAAGAAGGGAAGACGTATCTTCTGGGGTGGGGGGAATGTCATCTTAGTCTTGGCATATGCTCATACTCAGGTTGTTTCCTCTCAGCTCCTATTAAGAATTCAGTTCTGAATCCCATAACACGAGTTTGGGCCTGAATCTCAAGTTCATCAATGAAACAAGGTATGAAAGTCAGCATCTGCCCAGTTCTAAGTGAACTTTGCCCCTCATATCTGTCCATTACAAACCACTTAATTGCTGTTGTTTCTAACTTTATCCCTATTAAATAATAGGGTATAATGTGCACTCCCCAGATCCAATGAGGTTAGATGTCCTTTTTAGTATATTCAGCCCTATTCTTTTGAGCTTTCTGGGTTGCCTCAGACATTCTGCCTTCATCCTATTGGATTTCCTTTGCTCGTTGCCTTGTGGTGGTTGCTTGACTGTTCTGGTACTTGATTTGGTATATTGTTACTGTTACTGAGTTTGATTTTTTTTTTTATTGTGTGTTCAGTTTGGATTGCTGACCTGGACTCAGCTGAATTGGCAATGGGCAGTATGAGCATGCAAGAAATAACCAATACAAAAAAAGTAGTGCAAAGTTGGCTTGGTGGTTTGAAGCAACACTTAATTATTTCAAAGTGTAATCCCTTGTGCATGGCAAACTGGTGGATAGATTTTAACTGTTCCTGTACATCATTCATCTTTATTGCTGCATGGATTGCGCATAAGAGTTGTTTGAGCAATGAATGTTAATACAGGTCCCTGTGGAAAGCCATAAAGTCTGGCCACAGCTGACTTTGGCAGCCATGGCACATACTTGCTTCATGTAAACTGACTGCATGTTTAGCACTGGCAATGTGCAAGCAACTTGCAGATCACTTTCATGACATCTGACCTGGTGACAGTCTGTAGAAACTGACTCCACTTTGCTACAAACAAGTTCTTTCTTGGAGCTGGTGTGGGCTAATTCTTATTTTGAGCACCTCTGGCCATGGTTAACTATGGAAACCACAGCAGAGAAGTGGAATTTTTCAAGTGTAACTCCTCTTGTGGAGCCAGCATCACTTACCACAACGCTGTTGCAGACAGATGGAGTAAACCTCAATCTCTCATTGCTTTGACTCCAGTACTTGTTCTTGTTGCTGTCTGTCTTTTGAAGGTGCATAGTCCTGTGCTACTGATTATCTTGGTTATCCTGTTGCTTCCTCCGAACTCCAACAGGCTTCTCTGTAACGAGCAGGAAACATTAGCCATTGAAAAATGAAGACCCAGGCGGTAATCTAATAGTAAAGACAGTGTTGTAACAGAACAGCTAATGACCTATTTATTTGTTAAAGTCTTGCTGTTTATTGCAGGTCAGTGAACAGAAATCAGTCACAAGATGTTAAGCTCTCTCTAGCTGTTTAATCTTAACCCACCCCCCTTCCATTGTTTTGCTACTCCTGTGCTCACAGCAGTACCCCCAGCAATACCCCTCCCATCTTGTATTGACCTCATTTCAAAGCACAGCTTTTGCCTTTCAAGGGATCAGACTGGTGCTGTTTGAGTTGGGATTAATTTTGCTCAGGTCCTGGCACTAGCTGCTGCCTACTGCTCTACTGACCTTGTTTGCAGGCAGAACAGGAGTCTGTTTAGAAGCTGATGGATGCCCTGAGTGCCTGTGCTGAGTGTGACAGGGCAGGCCTGTCATGGCAGTGAATGTGGGCCTTGAAGAGGCAGAAGCTGCTGAATGGGACTGGACAGTGAGTTCCTGCAATCCTGCTTCCTGCAGGGTGGTGAATCAGCCAGGCCAAAACAGCCAATGCTGTAAAAATTCATGGGTCAATACTTGCTGGCTTCCTGTGTTAGGGAGGACTATTGTTGATGATCTGAAGTCCCTTTTAGCCCCCTGGTCTGAGTCTCTTAGGCCTTGAATTTTGATTCAGGTGGCTTGAAGGGGAAATGGAGAGAGGCGTGCTATGCCTGAGGAGTCCCATCAATGTCAGCATGGAAACTTACCAGTCAATTTGTAGTTTTTGGATGTACCATGTATACTGAAGTCTTCATGGGCAGTTCAGAAGTGAGATGATGTCCTGGTTTCAGTTAGCACAGAATTAATTTTCTTCCTAGTAGCTGGTGGAATGCTCTGTTTTGGCTTAGGATGAGAAGAGTGCTGATAACACTCCGATGCTTTAATTGTTGCAGAGCAGTGCTTATACTAAGCCAAGGACATCTCAGCCTTTTGCTCTGTCCTGCCAACGGGCAGGCTGGGGGTGCAGTAAGAGCTGGGAGGGGACAGACCCAGGACAGGTGACCCAAACTAGCCAAAGGGGTATTCCATACCATCTGACGTCATGCTAAACAATATATAGGGGTGGCTAGCTGGGGGGAGGGGGCCGGACTGCTCGGGGTTAGGCTGGGCATCGGTCAGCGGGTGGTGAGCAATTGCATTGTGCATCACTTGTTTGTACATACTATTACTTTCGTATTATCACCATTGTATCATTATTATTATTATTGTTATTATTATTTTGTTATTATTATTTTCCTGTCTTATTAAACTGTCTTTATCTCAACTCACGGGCTTCACTCTCCATTTCTCTCCCCCGTCCCAGAGAGGGAGGGGGGAGGGTGAGCGAACGGCTGCGTGGTGTTTAGCTGCCGGCCGGGTTAAACCACGACAGCCTTTTTGGCGCCCAACGTGGGGCCCGAAAGGTTGAGATAACGGCAGATCTGATCAGAGTGTGTTAAACTAAAATTGGTGTAAGGATTAGACCTGCTTAATAGTCACTTGTCATGATGCTGATTGCTTTAATCTCAACTCTGCTGCGCCTGTTTTCCAAATTGAGTATTATAGTACATTATTTTCCGTATTTTCTCTCTGTAGTGTTGTTTATCCTCTCTGGGCCCATAACCCAGAGGTCGATGGATTTTTTTTCTTTTTTTTTTGCTGTATGGAGTCCTACGCGACGAGTTGCAGAAGCTGCTGAGGGAGAAGGTGAATCGAGTCAGTTTGCAGAAGTGAAAGCCATTCAGCTGGCTTTAGACATTGCTGAACGAGAAAAATGGCCAGTTCTCTATCTCTACACCGATTCATGGATGGTAGCAAATGCCCTGTGGGGATGGTTACAGCAATGGAAGCAAAACAACTGGCAGCGTAGGGGCAAACCCATCTGGGCTGCTGCATTGTGGCAAGATATTGCTGCTCGGGTAGAGAACCTGGCTGTGAAAGTACGCCACGTAGATGCTCATGTGCCCAAGAATCGGGCTACTGAAGAACATCAAAACAACCAGCAGGTGGATCAGGCTGCTAAGATTGAAGTAGCTCAGGTGGACTTGGATTGGCAGCATAAAGGTGAATTATTTATAGCCCGATGGGCCCATGACACCTCAGGCCATCAAGGTAGAGACGCAACATACAGATGGGCTCGTGATCGAGGGGTGGACTTGACCATGGACGCTATAGCACAGGTTATTCATGACTGTGAAACATGTGCTGCAATCAAGCAAGCCAAACGGTCAAAGCCTCTTTGGTATGGAGGACGATGGCTAAAATATAAATATGGAGAGGCTTGGCAGATTGATTATATCACACTCCCTCAAACTCGCAATGGCAAGCGCCACGTACTTACAATGGTGGAAGCAACCACCGGATGGCTGGAAACATATCCTGTGCCTCATGCCACCGCCCGGAACACCATCCTGGGCCTTGAAAAGCAAGTCCTATGGCAACATGGCACCCCAGAAAGAATAGAATCAGACAATGGGACTCACTTCCGAAACAACCTTATAGACACTTGGGCCAAAGAACATGGTATTGAATGGGTGTATCACATCCCCTATCATGCGCCAGCCTCCGGGAAAGTTGAACGATACAATGGCCTGTTAAAGACTACCTTGAAAGCAATGGGCGCTGGGACGTTCAAAAACTGGGATACACATTTGGCAAAGGCCACCTGGTTAGTCAATACTAGGGGATCTACCAACCGAGCTGGACCTGCCCAATCAAACCTGTTACGTACTGTAGATGGGGATAAAGTTCCTGTAGTGCATGTAAAAAATATGCTGGGTAAAACAGTCTGGGCTACTCCTGCCTCAGGAAAAGGCAAACCTATTCGTGGAATTGTTTTCGCTCAGGGACCTGGATACACTTGGTGGGTGATGCAAAAGAATGGAGAGGTCCGGTGTGTACCTCAAGGAGATTTAATACTGGGTGAGAATAGCCCATGAACTGAATTGTACCATGTTAAATAGTATATTATACTGTATGTTATCACTACCATGATTACTATAGGTGACTAATTAGAATGTATGGAAAAGAGTGTAACCTGAGCATGACATAAATGGTATGGAATAAGGGGTGGATAGATGTCCTGGTTTCAGTTAGCACAGAATTAATTTTCTTCCTAGTAGCTGGTGGAATGCTCTGTTTTGGCTTAGGATGAGAAGAGTGCTGATAACACTCCGATGCTTTAATTGTTGCAGAGCAGTGCTTATACTAAGCCAAGGACATCTCAGCCTTTTGCTCTGTCCTGCCAACGGGCAGGCTGGGGGTGCAGTAAGAGCTGGGAGGGGACAGACCCAGGACAGGTGACCCAAACTAGCCAAAGGGGTATTCCATACCATCTGACGTCATGCTAAACAATATATAGGGGTGGCTAGCTGGGGGGAGGGGGCCGGACTGCTCGGGGTTAGGCTGGGCATCGGTCAGCGGGTGGTGAGCAATTGCATTGTGCATCACTTGTTTGTACATACTATTACTTTCGTATTATCACCATTGTATCATTATTATTATTATTGTTATTATTATTTTGTTATTATTATTTTCCTGTCTTATTAAACTGTCTTTATCTCAACTCACGGGCTTCACTCTCCATTTCTCTCCCCTGTCCCAGAGAGGGAGGGGGGAGGGTGAGCGAACGGCTGCGTGGTGTTTAGCTGCCGGCCGGGTTAAACCACGACAGATGAGTAGTGTTTACAGCAACTACTTTAGATTGATCTCAAAAGGAAACTTGTGATACATTCTTTTTGCTTTTAAAAAAGAACTGCACCTGATGAGTTGAAATCAAGCTTTGAGTCTGAGAACTTCTAAAAGACCCTTGAATCTCCGATTCAGTGTAACTATTGCCAGGTTTTCTTGTGCAGTGCTGTCTCCTGGCATCTCTGTAAATAGACTCAGTGTCTGAGGACCAACAGGCATAAGAATAAAAATGGTTTTGCTTTCCAAGTGCTTATTGATGTTTTGTTGTTTTGTTTTTTTTTTAGTATTTCTGCATTAGGATATAGGACCATCTCTAAGCTATGGGTTAATGCAGTCGTACAGTATGGGACCCTACTTTGGATGGCTATCACCTGGCTAGAAGTAGCAGGGAGTCTTTAATTCTGTCATTCTTATATATAAAAAGCTCTTATGGAGTCTCTCTATCCCACAGTGAGTGTTAAATGCACCTCTCAGCAGTGGTGTGTTTAACACTTCAATACTTCTACTGCCCTACAGAGCCCTGAAAGCCATGTGCCCAGGCTTCCAGTCAGAGGAAGGGGGGGATATGGAGAGGAAATAATGGGCGGTCAAATCTTATCCCAAGGTGGAGGTAGTACAAGGATGATAGTTGTGACAGTCCATCTAGGAAAAGGGGAGTGTTCGAGGAGCATTATGGGCTGCACAGCATGGATGTAACTAAGCTAAACCATTAGAGACTTAAAAAGAGAATGGAAGATGGGCTTCAGTGCTGCAATGGCACTGCAGAAGGGAGCTTTTTTTTTTGTATCTGAGTCCCTTAAGAAAATAAGAAAGGATGGTCAAAGGGGATAATTGGAGAAAATGGGATCACCCTAATAGGTACAACCCCTATGTCACATGCAGGGATGCTTATTCCTGTCCCGCTCTGGATCGTGAGTGAAAGTTGCACGGCACTGTAGGAAGGGGAAAATGTCTAATTCCTGCCTCTGAAGTGCTGCGTCCTCTCTTTGGCTCTGTAAAAATAGCATGGTGGGTTGAGAAGCAGTAGGAATGTACTTGGAAAATGTAACCTTCCAACACAGTCAGAGAAGCAGGAGAAAGGGAGCTATGGGAAGAGAAGGAAATGTGAGTCTTGGGTACATGAGGAGTGGGAAGGAAGGAATGGTGAGTAAAATCTTAAAAGCATGAGTGCATTACCAAAGCCAAATTAGAAGACATTAATTAGTTCATTTGTTCACTTAGAGCTGAGTGAGGTACACGAAGTCTGGGTCTTTGTTGCGTATTTGCTTTCTTTGCATTCTTTGCTTTCAAGTCTGGTCCAGGCTTCTCTGGAGAGACTCCTTTTTCTGCTTCTGTAGCTCGCTGCAGGATGCAAATGTTAATAAATGAAAGCACAGCATGTGGGGCTGAATCCATTAGGAGAGATGGGGGCTGTGTGGCAGATCAGCTTCCCTCCTGCTGTGCGACATGTGGTGCACATTGAAGTCGGGGCTGGGGGGAGTCCCCTTATTCAACTCCATAAATCCAGCCCTGCTGTTGCAAAACTGCTGTGCTGACTTGTTCATTTCTCCTCATGTAGTTTGTCAACCTGTTGTTTTCTTCTGGTCAGTGGGTTTGGTTGCTTGCTGTCCTTTTTAGCCCTCCGTACTGCATGAGGGTCAGTTCTTTGATTTGCTGCTGTTATCTGGTACTTAATCCCTTGGGAGAAAGAGCCTTGTGTCATTTTGGGCTTATAGAGTGCCCCCAGGGTGGTTTACAGACTTATTCTGTGGTATCAGTTGTGATACATGGTTGGAGGTGAAGAGTTCCACTTCAAATTCCCTAATGACCCTAGAGTTTCTCTCACTTCTGTCACATCAGGAGAAGCAGTGGAGATGAGAGGTAGCTCTTTCACTGGCCAGTAGCATAACTGACCTATGCAAATGTCCTGATGTTAGTCCAAGCTTAAGAACAAACGTGATTGTGAGATATGAAGACCTGTCCTACAATCTTATTGTTTACCTGAAGTTGAGGAAAATATTCCTCTTGCAATTGTCACAAACTTCAGGAGCCTGAGCCAGATATTATTTCTAAGTTACAAGGGGAAAAATGCCTGTACCTTCCCCACACCCAAAAGAACAGGCACAGACCAAGATTTATTCTTTCACTTCCATGTGCAGCTGCTGGAGCTCAGCAGGCCCCAACTTGGTGGCACTGCTGGGCCGGGTGCAGCTGCCCCATGTTCCCCTGCCCTGGCCTCCTGGGAGTTGGGGTGAAATGTACTCACTGTGCCTCCAGGTGTACTCTGCAGCTCTGGGGGCAGTCAGCATGGCAAATGGATGCAGGGAGGGCTTGAAAGGTTGAATCCAGTGGTCCTGGAAGGACAATTCACAGATGAGTATTCTGCAGAAACTCTGTGCCAAGCCACACGAGTGCACTCTGTGTGTGGTCAGCTGAAAGTGAGACAACTTCTTCAGAGCCCTGATGGACAGAAGAGGACAGCTCTGCTGGTAGCATCTGGTCTGACTGCTTGGCCCACCCAGCTTCTTGAAGTGCCCAGCCCTGCTGCACAAGCATCTCAGTTGTCCACACAGTAGACAAACTGCTGCAGTTTATAGCCCTGTCTGTACTGGAATAGCACAGGGATTGTGGTCTACTGTAATATCCTGGTGGCAGCTGCCACATGAACAGCTGAGCTGCTGAAATGTCTGGACAGTGGGATGAGAAACTCCGAGAAGCAGCAGGCAGTTGTTAGAGCTATCATCATGTCTTCCTCAGCCTAGGGTGTCCCTGCACATGAATCAGAAATCTTCTGGATCCTAAATCCCACTAGGATGTGACTTAAACTCCATAAGTATCTATGTATCTCAGTAAAGCTGGTGCTTGATTTTTTTTTTTTTTTTTTTTGAGGAGACCTAAGTAAAGGCTCCAGAAGTGATGGGGGATAATAGGAATCTCCATTACTTGGTTTTGATGGGAAATGTGGGGGAAGATGATCTGAGATGAACAAACAGAATTTTGTGATGGCTGCATTCCAGTTCCTTGGCTTTTGAACTCTTAAGGATGCGTAAGTTGTCTTCCAAGAGTTGCTGTTAATGAAAACAGTAGATTTAACCACCTAAACTAATTAGGGCTTTCGAAAATGAGCTACCCTTAGTCTACAAATTCAGCAAAAAATTTCAGTTTTGTTCTCAGCATAGGAATGAGCCCATACTTACAATGTCATTTAATTTTTGGCTGAAATAGGAACTGGAGGTCTTGATAACAAGGGATTATGTTCATCTTGAGAAAACTTTGTAACTTTGCTACCTCATGACCATCAAGGAAGTATCCCCAAGTCCACAAGGGGTGGGATTTAGGCAAGTGCACAGTAATGCCACGTGAGCAGAAACTATTTCTGTTCTTCGTCTCTGTTCGCATAATACCAGAATATAAATCAAAGAGGGGAGGGAAAAACCACCATGGGAAACAGCATGAGTAGCTGGAAAACTTACAAGAAAATGTTACTCAGCAGTGTGTGGTGCGCACTTACAAGGGTGACCTCTAAAAATAGAAATTACTAGAGAGAAGGGTTCTGGCCTATGGTGACCATGACAGCAAAAATATATAGTGTAATGCTCACATAAAAAGGAGGGAGAGCTGATCCATCAGCTTCGCCCAGGAGCTGAGGGGAAAATTCCTCATCTCAATAAATAGGCTGTGAAATGCCCCCAAGTGGCATCTGGTGGCACTTCCAGTCCTCGCCGTGAGAAAATTCAACAAAGGTTATGGCCTCGGCTGTTCTGCTGCATGCTATCGGGAGCTAGAGTGTAGCTGTAGCCCTTTCTGGACGCCAGGTGGCAGTCCATCATTAATATTAAAGCCAAGCAAGACCTTGTGTACCAGAAACTCCAAATTCCATGTGCAACGTCTATTACGGTCTGATTACAATTCCACAGCAGTTTAATTGTTTCTTAATGAACTGTCACTGAAAAGGAATCCTACATATTCCAGCAGAAATTCTCTTTTGTTAACGGCTGGGCCATACAGAATATTTTTGACTTGAGTTATTCATAAAAGTTTATAGTATGCTATTTAAGGGGTGATTGACTAAAGATTTATATCTAGAGAGACTTGTTCTGAACACAGACATGGCACTTGTGAAGCAAGCTATATCTCCTTGGACCTGTCTTCCTTTCCCACTTCTAATTAGCATTAATTAGAGTACACTGGTAGGACTGCTCTATGAAGTATTATGCCAAAGCCACAGAAGCTCAATCTCTTTAGAAGCTCATCTCTGTAATTAGCTTTTACTGATCATTGTCAGAGTAATACAGTTAATAACCTTTTCCTACATCCTTCAGAGTTATCAGTAGCCCTGCAGTTAAAGGGAATAGGATAGGAAATAGGAAGTCTGGTTATTACCGTCTTATCTAGAAAAGTGGGCTGCCTTTGTCCGCTTGGATCAAATCCATTTTCTCGTAGTCTGATGCCAACATAATCTCCCCTTAAAGCAAGAAAACAGGTTTGAATTACAACTGGTTCTAACTAATCCAGTGCTTGAGAAATGTAGGATGACACCAGAGCTAGTGCAAAATCAGGACTAAATTTGCTGTAAGTCAGTACTGGGGACCTTCTGCAGGGTTCCTCACAGACCCCTACTGCTTTGAAAAGCTGTTAATTTTGATGCATTGCTACTGCTAATCTTAGTTTTCCTCCAACCATGTTGTCTTACCAAAAAGCTCCAAAATATATGAAGAAATACAAATATAAATCAACTATTAGAGAAGTCTGGGGGCTCTAAGAAGTTCACTGTACAGGCAGAAGACTGAAAAATGCTTCACTGATGCTTGGTTTTCTCCCTTTTAGAGGGCCTGATTCAGCAACCTTATTTCAGACTGAGTACTACTGATCCATGCAAGGAGTCCTAGGGAAGATAGGTATGGGACTCACATAAAGTAGAGGAAACATTGCTTACATTTCCTAAGAGTTATCTGCTGGGCACCCTTTAATCAAAGAGCATGAGATGCTGTTGCATAAGCTAGGAGATTCCTTCCAGACAGCTGCTGCACTGGCTGTGTACTGACTGCACAGCAAGGGAGGAACTCTGCACCTCCCTGTTCACTTCCACTTCCACAGAGCAAGTTCTGTGCTGGGACCTCTCGCACTGCAGATTGCATGTAGGCTATATGAGAAAATGAGGATCACAGAATCACTTAGATTGGAAAAGACTTTTAAGATCATCTGGTCCAACCTTTAACCTAGCACTGCCAAGTTCACCATTAAACCATGTCACTAAGCACTACATCCACATGTTTTTTGAAGACCTGTAGGGATGGCGACTCAACTACTTCCCTGGGCAGCCTGTTCCAATACTTTACAACCTTTTTGGTGAAGATTTTTTTCCTAATATCCAGCATAAGTCTCCCCTGGCACAAATTAAAGCCATCTCCTCTTGTCATGGATCTCAGATGACATCTGTTGGTGCTTTTCAGCAAAAGAAGACAAAGGATTTACAGCTATTGTCCAGCTAAGTCTTACGATTCTTTGCGATGAAAACAAGTCTATCTGAAATGCAGTGCAGGAAGTTGTGGGCAGTTACAACTTACAAGAGTTCTTCAATCTCGTTCTTTAGGCATTTTCTTTCCATGTCTGGAGATACTCTGGCTGTCACTGTAACATAAGTGGCCCAATGAGATCTAGGAGAGAGAAAAAGAAGTGCATCCTGCCAAGTGCTTCTATCAGTGAAAAAACTTGAATTAGAGATAAAGAGTATGGGACACTTGGAGACTAACTTCAAAAATCTGGCCAAAATCAATTTCCAGGCAGGATTGCAATAGAAACTGGGAGAAAACCTAATCAAGGAAGAGAAGACAATGTTCACAGTGCTGAAAGAGAGGGTAAGGAGTTTGGTAATGGCAAATAGGCAGGGTAGGCCCATTTAATAGGGACATCTATCTTGAGTGTCAGCTAGCAGGTTGCTTGCATCCCCATCACAGAGATGTATGTTCTTTTGCATAATGCAATGTATTAACCTGCTGCCAATTCTGAGTTGTGTAGCACACAGCTTGCCTTCCTTCCTGTGTATTATCAGATCTATGGGGTACAAAGGTAGGTAGTTAGCTGTATATCACTGAATGGACTGGGAATAGGATAGATTGGAAGAGATGAGTTAACAGCTGGCCTGACAGGACGTAGCAAAAAGAGCAGTGCACACTTGACCCACTAATTAATTGTAAACTCAAAGTGCATGCTTTACTTCTGTTCCATAATACACAAACTAATGATGTGCCTCAAAAGCTCACTGTTACTAAATATTATTCCCATATTCTCTTTTACATGCACACAAGAAATTAGGCACTACCTATATCAGCTCTTGTAATAGGCTTCAGGATCTGGGTTTGGAGCTTCTCTGACTTCAGATAAATAAGAGATGCATTTCCCTCTTGATGTGGCTGTTCCTTTCTTGCCTCTGTCACTGAGTGCGTGTGCAAGGGAAATTGAGCTATGGCTTCATGCAGGACTGTAGTTTTCTCCTGTTTCTTAGAAACAATACTGCTGAGCTGAGAGAAATTAAAATGGGAAAAAAATAAAAACCACCCACAGAAAAGAGGTTAAAACTGCACCCTGAGGTTGAGCTATCAGCCTGAGGTTGAGCTATCAGCCTCAAGTTAAATGATCCTTTTATGCTCTTAGGAATTGAGTTTCACTGTTGAGTGGCTAGTTGGAAACATAGATGACTTGCTGACAAGAGAGGCTGAGACCATTCACTGCTTTTTCTGATGGATCTAACTGCTTGTAAAAGAAGCTATTAGTAGAGGCAGGGTTATGGAACAGTGAAAAACTAAAACAGCATCAATGGTATATGGCATGGATCCTGCTAGTTGCTCTTTCATCAATATTATGTTTTTGCTTACAGTATTAGGAAGAATTCTAACAGCCAGGAAATCCCAACATAACGTACTCTGTTCTGCCGTTGTCCTTCCAAAGGATGCAGGGCATGTCTTGCACAGGGTAATATATTAGCATCAGCTAATACATTAACAAATACCACATAAAATAGTAGTAGGAGTAGGATCTAGGACTCCTGCAAAGAGCTGCCATTCCCATTTCGCACTTCCAGCCAGACATGGTAGCAGGCAGAAAGCATTTTTACCAGTCTTATTTGTATAGCAAATCACCTCTGCACCTCTGTAAGCTGCTGTTCTTCAGACTATTTTGGATGCTTTGCTTTATGACATTCCCCTTAAAATGTTTAACATGTTCATATGCAGTGCCAACTTGTTGAAGATAAACTTAAAGGTGCTTGGAAAGTTATGCACAAATTTGGACTAAAATGTAAATTACTGTGAAAGAAAAAATCCTTATAGAACAGTTCAGTTTTGATACTGAGCTGAAAGGACAAATGGTCTCTTCCTTGATAGAACAAGAATCAGATTTGAAGTGCTTTATTCGCAGATAGGTCAAACTATGTTTAGTTAGCTAGAAGGAAGTCTGGAAACTTTGTGTTACTTAACCAGCTTCATCTGTAAGAAAATACAGACTTGTATCTCAAAGTGATGGCAAGATGATCCAGGCCTGGAGGATGTGTCAGAAGAAGATTAGGTGAGGAAGTCATGCTGTGTACGTCCTTGGATGTGTAACCGTCTAAGTTCAATACGCATGCTGAAACAGTGTGATAAGAAAGAACAGAGCCTGAGCATGCACAAGAACTGGGTTCAACCAGTGAACACAGTGAGGAAGACTACCGATGACCACCAGAGACCCCCAAAAGACCACTGGTGGATACAAATGCATGTGTCAGAGGTATTTACATTGTTTAATGAGCTACGGGAAATAGTATGAATATGTTAACTATTTCACAAAAATCTGATGAATATTTGATTGTATATAACCCCCATAGTTTGGGCAACTCGGTACACACGCTATGTGAAGGATCCGATCTCCTGCACATCCAGCACCACAGTTAAAAAATGCCTGCTTTCTACAACTCCAAACTGAGTCTCAGAGAGCTTCTCTGACTGACGTTTATGGTAACAGTTGGAAGGGACCTTTGGAGATCATCTAGTCCAACTGCCTGACCTCTCCAGGGCAAAACGAAAGTTAAAGCATATTGATGAGGGCAGTGGCCAAATGTCTCTTAAACACTGTCAGATGTGGGCTTATCAACATTTTAAAGGGCTGTAAAATGTCTTTATATTTTTTATTTTCTTCAGGAGGATGTTACAAGCTAGGGCCCTGGTGCCGACTTCTGCAGCTGCCCAAGCCCTAACTTTGGGGTTTGTGCTTTCGACAAATCTTCCGGCTTCTCTGAAGCGTTTTTAGAAGCGTTTCAGCCCTGTGTGCCTGGGCCCGGCAGGAGCAGCGCCTGAGGCGCGCTGCCCGCAGCCAGCGGCGGCGCTGAGGTGGCCGGCGGGTCCCCTGGCTGCCCCTAACATGGCGGCGCGGCCTGCCGGGGCTTAGCCCCGCAGCACGGGCACCGCGGGTTCTCTCTGCACGCCGCAGCCCCGCTCGCCGCCAGAACCTCGCCCTACGCGGACCGAGGCCGGGCCCCCGCAGCCGGCGGAGCCGCAGCCGTTGGGCGCCCCGTCCCCGTGCCGGTGGGCGGAGGAGGCGGCCGCCATTTGGCGGGGCGGGGCGAGGGGCGGGCTGCCGCCGCCCTGTTTGCGTTCAAAAATCTGCGGGCTGCTCGGGGCCCTCCTTCCCAGCTCCCCAGGCGGAGGGCTCGGGGGGCTCTCGCGGCTGCCGTGCCTGTGGCCGCGTCTTCCCTGCGGGACAGGAGGGGCCGGGGAGGCGGCTCTTGCCGGGAGGAGCGGAGGGCTTTGCTGGGGAGCGCTCGCTGCGGGTGCTGAGCCTGCTGCGTGTGGCTCCCTCCAGCCATGGCATCGCAGGAGGTGTCCGAGGCGCTCTCCTTCAGTCTGAGCGGCGTGAGGGAGCGGATGCGGGAGAGGAGAAACGGCGTCTTGAGAACCGCGAAGCTGAACGCATCGATCGCGTCGAAAATCAAAACGAAAATCCTGAGTGAGTACATCTCGCCATGCAGCACGCGTGGAGGCGCAGGGCAGGTCAAACCTGCGCCTCTGGCCTGGCCTGGGGTGGGGTGGGGTGGGGTGGGGTGGGGAGGCAGCCTCTTACCCGGAGCTGAGAGCTAACAACGGCTTCTCGGCCTCCGGCTGCCTGGGGAATTCAGTACCCGGGAGCGCAGAGTGCCCTGAGGTGCCTGAGGTGAATGTGACAAGTGTAACAAGCTGTGGAGGGACCATGCTGCTTTCAAACAGCAGCTGGGGCTGTTGCAGGCTGCTCTAGTAGCGTTTCCGATGGCATTAGGTAACTCTGTTTGTGCAGCTGAGTCCTCAGGATCCATGCTGGGGGTCCAAACACCAGAATTGAGTGTAAAAAGTATTTTAATATTTATGTAACCTATTGCAGAAGCTAGCTCAACTGTAATTTCTGTTTTTTTTTTTTTTTTTTTTTTTTTTTTTTTGAGGGGGGATACTGATGAAGTAATGCATAGGGTTATATGAATTACCTTGAAAAAGTTAGATGTTATTGTTACTTCTATTTATTTATTTTTAAATTGGGAAATAAGGTTTTAAATCTGCTCAAATGATGCTGTAGAGGAAGGCAGGTTTTTCTCCTTTTTGGATGGAGATGAGAAAAGAGCTATAGCTGACTTCCTCAACCAGAAAGATATCTGTCTGTACTCAGCTCCTGAACCATACCATCATTTATTAAGAACTGAGGTAGTAGCTTGCTGACTGATCATGACCCTCTGGGACTGCAGAAGGTGTCAGTGTCTGAAGTGTGGAAGGTTATTATGGAAAGCTTCTCTGCTGCTGTCTGGAGAATTCAGTAGTTACCTCTGTATAGGAAGGAACTATACCGCTGACTGTGTGGAGGACTACTGAGTTGTAGAGATCTGAGCCTGAGGGGAAGCTCATCTGGGAAGAGGAAGGCATGGATGTGACCTTGAATGTTGATTCTTTGTGTACTTATCTATTGCTTACAGATAACTCCTCCACTATTAAAGTTTCCCTAAAGCACAACAATAAAGCACTGGCACTGGCCCTCAATGCGGAGAAAGCCAATGCACAGCGGCTCATCCAGGAGAAGATCAGCTTGCAGAAGGAGGTGGAGCACTGCCACTTCCAGAATGCCGTGCTGCGGCACAAGCTCTGCTTACTGGTATGGCACTGACAGAGGGGCCCTCACTGAGAGGGATGGTGGGCAGCACTAGTACCTCAGTCTTGGGAGAGGTGTGTGAGCTGTCACTGACTGTATCTTCTGCATCTGAAACAAGTCCCCATATTAGTATTTATTCTTTCTTCTAAGCTGTGTTTTTCCCAGAAGGGCTGAACTTTTTTTTCTGGCTACCTTTGTCATTGTTGGAACATACATTTAGATTTAACGCACTTACTGCTTCTCTCTTTATTACCTCAATGTAGAGTAACACCATGAAAGAACTTGAAAACCTTGTGGCTGCAGTTAAGATGGCTCGTCTGTCTGAGGTAAACCATAGGAGATGTGAGTGCATTGGTTGTACTAGAAATGAGGCTGTGTTTCTCTTGCGTTGTGTCCCTTCAAGTGTTTGATGTTTCTTCTGTTTTTCTTGGCTTGCTTGCTGGCTGCATTCTCATTTTAAGGTTGGTGCTAATGATTTTTAGGGTTGGATCTTGGGTAACTTCCACAGCAGAGGCTACAGTTATAAGCTGTCTTCCTCTGGGTCATTGGCTGTATTGACCGGGCGACTTCTGCTTAGGCCAGGTTGTGATTTTTGCATGCTGGTGCTGTCTGTTGCTATGGTGACTTGGAATAGGGAACAAGACATTTCACCTATGTTATGTCATTTGGGGTGTTGGGGAAAACCTTCTTCCTAGTCTCAGATTATCTGAACTACCTAAAGTATATTCTTAAGTCTGTGGAGGCAGAATCTGACTCTGCTGCAATTCATTGAGCATAACTTGTAGTAAATGACTTCTGTAAACCAGCAAATAGCTGTATGAGCCAAGGCCTGTGCCTGAAAATACCCTCCTGGAAGTTGGACAAGCAGCCTTCTGCAAAGGACTCCATTCTTTTGAAACATTGGAGCGGGAGGATGGGACCTCTGGTTGTGCAGTTTTAAACTGAAGAGGGTAATTGGTATATTTGACAGTTTTCTGGGTGAAACTGAGTTGCTGCTGTCTCTGTGCAAGGGCTGCACAGGTGATTGCAAGAGCTCTAAACCAACCTTCTATTTCTCTGTTCTACAGTTCCATACAAGTCCTTCGTCCCTGTCCCATGGCCGGAAGAGCAGCATAACTGAAGATAGTTGGTTTGACAGTAGTGCAGATGGTCATTTTGTGAGGTGGGCCTTAAAATGTCCGATTCTGGAATTCCTTGTGTTTTGTGTGTGCCCAGTTGTCTCTTTCCCATAAGATACCTTCTTTAGAACACCAGTTTGGTATTTTCCTTTACCCCGTGTCTTTCTGCTGCCATTTCTTGTCTTACTTCCCATAGTGCCAAGTCTTTGTATGAATTTACCCTTCTCCCTCCTGTGTTTGAAAACACATGTGGTGGTTTTAACCAACTGGGCAGTTGAGCTCTACCACAATGCTCTCACTCCCCCTCGTCAAAGGGAAAGGGGGAGAAAATAATGATGAAAAGGGCTCAAGGGTTGAGATAAGGATGGGGAGATCACTTGACAATGTATTGTCATGGGCAAAACAGGCTCAGCATAGGGAGACTAATAAAATTTATTGCCTATTACTAAAAAGCTAGAGAAGTGAGAAACAAAGAAAACAAACTAAGAACTCTTTCTTCCATCCACCATCTTCCACCTCCTCTGCCCCAAGCGGCACAGGGGAATGGGGTCTGTGGTCAGTCCATAGCACTTTGCTTCTGCTGCTCCTTCACAGTCCCTCCCACAGGATGGTGTCCTGCCTGAATGGATCCTGCAGGGGCTTCCCACAGGCAGCAGCTCTTCAAGAACAGCTCCCACACAGCTCCGTACCACTGGGTCCATCCATCCCCCAGGAGCAAACTGCTCTAGCACGGGTCCCCCACAGGTGGGTGGCAGCTCCCCCCAGCCCCCTGCTCCTGTGGGGGCTCTCCATGGGCCATAGCCTCCTCCAGGCCACGTCCACCTGCTCCCCCGGGGGCTCTTCCACAGGCTGCATCATGGAGATCTGCACCATGTGGGACCTATGGGCTGCAGGGGGACAGCCTGCTCCACCAGGGGCCTCTCCACAGGCTGCAGGGGAACTGCTGCTGTGTGCCTGGAGCACCTCCTGCCCTCCTGCTGCACTGACTTGGGGTCTGCAGGGCTGGTTCTCACTCCTCTCTGCCAGCTGCTGATGTGCAGCAGTTTTTTTTCCTTTCTTAAATATGTTCTCACAGAGGTCCAAACAACATTGCTTAGTGGCTTGGCTCTGGACAGTGGTGGGTCTGTTTGGAGCTGTCTGAAACTGGCCCTTATTCAACAAGAGGCAGCTTCTGGATTCTCAGAAAGGCCACCCTTGCAGCCCTCTGCTACTAAAACCTTGCCACATAAACCCACTGCAACACATGACTTTCAGATAGTTTTCACCAGCCACAGAGAAAAAAGTTTTCTTCCCCAGCCCATGTTCTGAGTTGCTTCACAGACAGTAGATCATAGATCATTAAGGCTGGAAAAGGCCTCCAATATCATCTGGTCCTACCACCACTGTCACCCCACTAAACCATGTTCCTAAGCACCACATCCAATCTTTCCTTAAACACCCCCAGGGATGGTCACTCCGTTGCCTCCCTGTTCTTTTGGCTTCTGAGGCCTGTTGCAGGTATGAAACATGTTCTACTGCTGTTTTTTCTCACCAGTGGTGAGCTGATGTCACTGAGGGTGCCTGTTTCAAAGCCACGTGATGAGGGACAGCAAGGCGGCAGCTCCACAGCTGTACGGAAGTCCTTGGTCAGTCTTCGGAGATCTGCTTCTGATAAGCCTCAGGAAATTGTGCCTGTTGTCTCCAAAGATGCTTTGCCATCACAGCTTGCTAAGAAGCCTCAGTCCCACCAGGAAGAAAATAAGAATAAGCAGAGTGAAGCAATGGAAGCACAAGAAGTTTTCCTTGGCTCTTCTCTCTCTGGAGGTATGTGCATCTTCTGTGGTTGTTCTGGTATGATTTGGTATGTGTGTAGATGTTGTGTATGAGTGTAGTACCATAGCTCCCCTTCGCTCCTAACTATTGCCCTGGTAGCTTCTAATTACAGTTAGGAACTATGCGCTCCAGTGACACTGATACTACCAGAGCTCAGGGTATCCCAGAATGGGATGTCTCAGTGGGAATGACTGACATTTGCAGTATCTCAAGACTACTCATTAGTTTTCCCGAATAATAGGGACTGAGCTTACATAAGATTTTTCGGAAGTGCTTGAAGGTGCTATTCCCCAGAACATAACTGGGTGCACAGCTCCTGTTCCATGTGGCTTTGCCATATGAATAACTTTCATATAGATCCTGAGCATCCCTAAATATTAGGGCTGTTTAAGGCGTTTTGCTTCAGGTTGCCTTTGTGTTCTGAGCAAAGTCAGCTGAGCAATTCTGTTACTATGGTGAGTTTGGGGAGTCCCTGTGGAACAAAACCCTGCCTTTTCTATCTTCAGGCTTCCTGGTAGTATGCAGGACGTGTGTCTAGTGGTACTGAGAAACCTGACTTTTGCCTGATATGTTCCTCAGTCTTAGGAATTAATTTTGTCTTTCCAACAGAATCCTTGTGCACCACTCAACAAAATCTCAGTGATTTGCCAGCACTTGCTTGGGAAAGTCAGCCACTTCCATATGAGGATGATGAGATGGTGAAACAATTCTGTGATCGTCTCTCAAAAGGGCATGTTACACAGAGAAAAAAGCGTTCCACCTTGTTTGCAACAAGTACTCTGCCTTCTAGTGAGGATACCTTCCTACATATCAGCTCTACTGAGGCAACCCAGTGCAGTTTGACTAAGGACAGCAGCAGCTGCAGCAAGAGCAGCACACAGGTGCAGCTGAAATCTCCCAGCTACCAAGTTTCATCTTCTCAAGCCACTGTTAGTCCCAATAAAAAATCTTTGGGTAAAGAGACTTGCTGTGATCAGCCACAGGCTGAAGAAACTGGGTGTGGTGTTGAAATGGATCCCAGCCATAGCAAAGTCTTGAAGCTTATTCCTGTAAAGGTTAAAAGTAAGGGTAACTGTAAAACTAGTGAGAAAAAAACTGTTAAAAAGGCAAGCACAGGAAAGAAAAAAAATAAAGTTAAAAACAATGTGGAAAATAGCCCTGATATACCTCAAGATGAAGGGAGTACCCTAAATGCAAAGAAGCTTTTTCAGTCAGAAGTTGCAACATATTCTAGTGAGTCAGAAGCCTCAGATATGAGGCAGAAGGCTTGTGTGGGGTCTTTGGAGAGGAAGAACAGAGGCTGTAGTGTGGAGCAACATTCCCATTGTTCTGATGAAGTCCGAGTTTCCAGAAGAACATACGTGGTGAATACAGCACAACTGAATAGTCTTGGAAGTGCTGACTTACTGCAACAAGTTAAGAAAGATGCTATCTTTGAGTTTGAAAGCATGGAGGATTTATTAAAAAGTCCAGTTCATGCCTTCTCAAGTCATAAAGTTTCCTCAGATGAGTCCACTTTACAAAACTCAGTTTTGCTGAGGAATGAGACTTCAAATGCACATGCTTTACAGGACTTACCAAGTGTGAGCACAAAGAGCATCAGACAGAAAGCCAACAGAAAAACTATAGTAATTAGGCAAATAAATGACTCTGGGGAGACTCTCATAAGCAATGTGAAGATACCTGAGGCCAAAGCTGAAAAACAGTCTAAAAGAAGCCAGACAAGCAGGAGGAAGACTGGCAGGGTAAGCGGTTGTAGCGATCAGAGAAATGAAGATAATTTTGGATCTTGTATAGGTGTTCCAGAAGTAGCTAAGGAGTGCATGAAGAATTCACTAGATAAATGTAGCAGGAAGACTTATGTTGTTTGTCCTTCAGATCTTACAGGAAACTTGGTTAGTGTCCAGACAAATTCTGAAGGAAATGAAATTGTACCTTCTACATCTATTTCTGGGAGCCAAGCTAGCAAAATTCCCAGAATTCGGAAGATGATAGCTGCTCAGAACAATAAAAAAGAACCAGGGGACCTTCAAGAAAAGGAGCAAGCTGAAGATGACAGCACAAATGCTCGGCAAAAAGGGGCTGATCCCAAAGCAAAGCCTCGGAGGAACAGGAACACCCCTACTCCTCCAAAGATGGATTTCCTCACCAGACAGAGCAATGGTGCCAATGTGCTCCCTGGAAGTTCAGTGGAACTTGCATCAAAGCAAACTGTCCTGATGGGGAAACTTTCCTGCACTGCAGATCTGCTGTCTGAGCCAGTTGTCTCCCTGGAGGAGCAGATCGCTGAGATACCACATAGAAAAAATCTTACGGGCTCTTCACAAAGTCTTGAGTCCTCTTCTGTGGTCTGCTCTGGAGCTTTACATTTCAAAGCTGGCCTTACAGATGTACTGGTTTCCAAGAGCTTAAGTACTGAGGGCAACAGAATCCCAGAGAAATCCTCTCTTTGGCCAGAGTGCTCTCAGGTTTTTAAAGAAAGGGATGGAGAAGTACCTGGGGAAAGAAACCAACATGGGTCAAGTTCTGAAGATCATTCCCAGAATTCATCCTTGGAGAAACGTGGTAGGTGGTGGGCTGGGGAAGGGACCTGTGTTTGGAGACGGGTACCAAAGGATGCAGATTGTGTCTATACTCTCATGGTTTATGGAGTTAAAGATCAATGTTCAGTACGCAATTTATGCTTCTACTTATGCTGGTCGGTCATTTCCATGGCTGCATTTGTTTGTAGTTTATCAGCTTTTCTGTTGAAACTTCTGGTGGTCTTTCATACTGGGAGGTTAAGAGCATATGCTGCAAGTCTCTTTTTCCCACGCTTGTTATCTACAGGGCATGCCTGTCAATTTAAAAAACTGACCTGCTCAACAGTTGAAAGGCATAACCTGATGCTAACCCTGGCCACTGGAGTTGGCATTACTGGGGCACGGTAATTAATTACCGTGCAATTAAAAATAACAGCTCTTCATCCCAAATGGTTAATGCTGAAAGGGTTCAGACTTTATACTTTTAAGTGGCAACATCAATGAAATTTCTTCAGGAGCTACATAAGCTTTTTTTTTTTTCTTCCCCCATTGGGGATTTCTTTTTTTTCCATTTTGTTTCCCAAAGGATTTGGAGGTATATCCCATGTCTGGTAGCAGTAGTTACTTTGACTCTTTCCGGGAGCTTGTTATTGCATGTTCTGTAAACAGTTATGTGCGGTTGTGGAGAAGGGGGAAGTTTGTTCTGTCTTCTTGGCTGACTTTATTTTGAAAGCTGCAGTAAGCATTGGCATGGTCCTGCTTTGCAGGAAACCTTGCTGGAAGTCTCCTAGGTTGTTGAGGTGCTTTAAACTTGATTTCTACAATGTGTAAACTTCTGGGGGGTGTTAGAGCTGTCAACTACCATTTCTGCAAGGAGAGGCTGCTACAGCTGGGCACAGTTATATTTGCGGTATTAGTGACTGTCGTATTTGCAGTATTTTTCAGTGAGTAACCTAATTTGATCAATGAGCTGAATTTTGAGAAGCAGCTCTGGAATTTTGGGACAAAAATGGCCTCCTGAGTTTAGAGGTGATATGATTAGATTCAGGATTATGTGGTGTTCAGAGGAACCTGGTAATGCGGACGTTCTCTGTTTGGCAGCTGTTTTTCTAAGAAATTACTTTGATTTGGAAACACTATGATCAACTCGTGTGCATGTCTCTCTTTATAGAGTCCAAACCACTACAGGACCTTACCAATGCCAGGACTCTGTCCCTCCCCAGCTCGGAAGAAGAGTCAGGGCGCTTAATCAGGCGGAGACGAGAACCAACCTGCTACAAGGAGCCAAAAATCGGAAGGTTAGGACTTAAACTATTCCTTCCTGTGACTTTTCTTATGCTGCAAACCCTTGCTCTCCTTTCATACACTTGATCTCCAAGGGTGGATCCTCTGTCGCTCTTTGTCTTTAGTCCCTCTTACCCTTCATGTTTTTGTGAGTCCTTCTGCCACAGTGTGGTTAAACAGAAATTCTGCATTAGTATAGATGCACGTGCAGGCTTCTGGTAACATGCTGCCAAAGAGCAATTTCCCTCACCAAACAAAAACTTGTCTTAGCAGACTTTGTATGTAGTAGCCTAGTGCTAGTGAGGGATTAACATGAGGTTAATATGTAGGATAAATAAAGAGAATAAAGGGAAAGCCCTGCTTTTCCTTGTTGCTGTTCTGTGCTATTTGAAGTTCTAGACAACAATTAAGTAATACCTCAATTTTAATCAGATTTCAGTGAAAGAAATGCAAGATTTTGAGGAGGATGTCTCCCCATGTACTCAGTGTACTTTAGTGTATTTTGAGGGGGGCTGACAGGGTGTCCTCTGTGAGAACAGTACAGAAGCTGCCCCATGTTAGATAAGAGCCAGTTCCAGATGGCTTCAGAAAGGACCTGCTGCTGGCCAGAGCTGAGCCAATAAGCAATGCTGCTTGCACTTGTGAGTGTATTTAAGAAAGCAGAAAAAAGATACTGCACAGCAGCTGGGAGCGAGGAGTGAGAACGTAGAGGAAAAACAGCCCTGCAGGCACCAAGGTCAGTGAAGAAGGAGGGCAGGAGATGCTCCAGGCATGGAGCAGCAGTTCCCCTGTGGCCTGTGGAGAGGCTCCTGGCAGAGCAGGTTGTCCCTCTGCAGCCCGTGGTGTATCACACCAGAGCAGATCTCCATGCTGCAGCCCGTGGTGGAACAGTTGGATATGGTCTGAAGGAGGCTGCAGCCCTTGGAGAGAGAGCCCACACAGCAGACTCTGGGCCAGAAGTGCAGCCTGTGGAGGCGAGCTCACAGAGGAGCAGGAATTGCCACCTGTGGGTGACCCATGCTGGGGCAGTTTGTTCCGGCAGGACTGCACCCCATGCTATGGACCCATATTGGAGCAGCTCTTGAAGAACTGTAACCTGTGGGAAGCCCCCAGAGGACCAGTTCAAGAAGGACTGTGTCCTGTGGGAGGAACCCCACGTTGGAGTGGGGCAGACAGTGACTGTGAAGGAGCGATGGAGACGAACCGTTCGGGACTGACCACAGCCCCCATTCACCTGCACTGCTCAGGAAGAGGAGGTGGAAGAGGATGGATGGGAGGAAGGCTTTTTTAGTTTGCTGTTAGCTCTCACTGCTCTAGTCTGTTAGTAGTAGGCAATAAATTACATTAATTTCCCTTAGGCTGAATCTGTTTTGCCTATGATAGTAATTGGTGAGTGATTTCCCTCTCCTTATTTCTACTTATGAACAATTTTTCATCATACTTCCTCCCTCTGCTCTGTTGAGGAAGGAGAGTGAGAGAACAGTGTGTTGGAGCTTAGCTAGCCATTGGTGTGTAACCACCGCAGCCCATGAGCAGGTTGGGTAATGTTTGCTGCTTCTGGCAGGGATGAGTACCAGAGCAAGGAGCTGCATCTTTTCCCGAAGAAACTGTTGCATTATCTAGTAGCTACTGTTCAGAAGCACTGAATTCCTAAAATGATGTCTTTTGTTAAATTGGTTTTGTTAAAACAACACCTGTGCTGGCTAGGTGATGCTGTGTTTTTCCCTGAAAAGTACTGCAGTGTGAATTTCATGTGAGAAATTAGTTATAATGGTTCAGAAAGTACTCTGTGTGGGTATAGCTGATCCAGTAGGGGACAACAACTAAACTGTACTACCCAGTCATCTTATGGTAGAAGCATTTCAGTAAAAACAGAAACTTTAGAGACTAAAATCATACGTGTATTCAAGAAACCTCTTGACGGTTCAGTCTAACCCTTTTGGTTCTGCAGCAAACTGAGACGGGGTGACCCATTTACAGACACGGAGTTCCTCCATTCCCCCATCTACAAAAACAAAAAGAAGATCAAAGCCAAGGAAATGACCAAGAAGATCAAAGAGGAAAAAGATTTCTGAATAGTGTACTGGTGCCAAGGCAAGCAAACTGATAACAAGTGGGGGAGAAGGAGCCAGAAGTGAAATAGTGGTTAATTGGCAGCCATCAAGCTCCTGGCTTGTGTGTCTTTGCTAGAATGAATCTAGTATTGTTTGTATCTTTTTTAAAATGTAAATAAATTCTATGTGGACAGTATAAAAATCTTTGTGACATTTGATCTATCTCTGGTTGTCCCTGTTTCCCCCCCCTACCCCCCCTTGCTGGGGTGCCTGTTTTCAAAGGCTTTGTCCGTCAGTGGCTTTCATAGAATCACAGAATTGCAGGGGTTGGAAGGGATCTCGAGATCATCGGGTTCAACCCCCCTGCCAAAGCAGGTTCCTTAGAGCAGATTGCCCAGGTAGGTGTCCAGATGAGCCTTGAATATCTCCAGATGAGATTCCACAACCTCCAGCTGGTTCCAGTGCTCTGTTACCCTCACTGTGAAGAAGTTCTGACGCATGTTGGTGTGGAACTTCCTATGATCCGTGTTTTGGCTATTGCCTCTTGTCCTGTCCCCACAAACCACTGAAAAGAGGCTGGCCAAATCCCTCTGTCTCCTGTCTTGGTAGTGTAATCAGATAGCTGGCTCTGCCAGTCCTCTCTTGGCTCAACACAAGCCAGGAAAGAATACAGCTGGGAGGGGAGGGCTCATCTTCTGGCACTGCGGATACCACAAGACTGCTGCCTGGGGTTTCAAAAGAGTGCAGCAGCCTGGGTTTTGACAGCAAGCAGAAGAGGAGGCTAATGTACTTCCCAGTGTTACCTCCTGGTGGAAGGTGGTTTCTGTATGGGCACAAAGTTGCTGGGGAATCATGTTTAGGATTGAATGCTAAAGCCTTGGACAGCCCTAGAAGTCAGAGCTCTGCTGCTCTAAAAGGGAGCCATGTCAGAGAACTGATGTACACGTATTTGCTTTCTGAGGATTTGCATATATGTAGAGTTGAAAACAGCCTTCCACCACCAGTCTTAAGCATGAAACATGCACACATCTAACTACATCAGTGTCAGCCCTAAAGGTAAGTTAGGCCTTACTTTGCTTATGGACAATTTTTTGCTGGTGCTCAGTGCTGGGACTGTTGGTGCAAGGTGGTGTTAATGTTAGTGAAAGCCACAAGGGTCCAAGAGCTCTGAGTTTGCTGGTACACTGCAAAGTAGATGATCATGTTTCATGAAATCCTGTACTGTTCCATTGCACACTGAGTGTCCACTGACCTCCAGCTCTTGATGTGATAGGATCTACTGGTGTTTAACTTTGAAGGCTATTGATGTTTGAGTGAGTGATAGGGGGAAAAAAAAGGAACATACTAGTCATAAAAGAGAGGGAATGAATGAATGAATGAATGAGTATCCACAGAAGCAGGAAAAGTAGTCTCTCATTCTCCATGGCAGAGCAGGCAAAGGGTTCTTATGATCACACTGCCTTTTTTTTCCCTCCTAACGCAGAGGCAATACTGCTTGCTCTCCTCAGTACTACAGCAGCACTCTTCAGTTCATGTAGATAGATTGCGTCCTGCTGTACCCTATGGAGTCCTCCAGAAGGTGGAAATTTTGTGTTGGTGCAGAAGGAAAGCTATACTGTCAGGGAATTAAAAACAAAACAGAAGTATAAGCTTTAATTCCCCTTCCCACTTAGTTTGTTCTTTTCCCTGAAAAGGGCTAAGATTCTCCCTGTATTCTGTAATGCCAGAGGCTGGGTAGGAGCTAGTAAGTAACAAGACAATTTGTCAGAGGTGCTGCTGTATTATGACCCATCTGATTGTGGCGTGCTACTTGTGTCCGCAGGCAGGTAGGCATGTAGATCTCAAGATATTTCTGATGGATATTTCCATTGTCTCAAGAGTATTCAGAAATAACTTTTCTAGGTGCACTTTTTACATGCTGTTGTTAGTAACAGACTACCACACTGAGTGTTGTGTTCATTCATGCTATGGTCAGTGACAGCTGCTAGTAATTGCAGAGCTGTGTTTCAAACACATGCTCAGCCCTAGAGAAATGTTAATGCTAGCTGATTCAATTTGATCTATTTTGCATTTCCATCCTAACCCACACTTAAGACACCCTGCAGCTGACCAGCTATTTTATCTATAACCAGTTTCTGATCTTCACTAAGTGGTGATGTATTAGTTTGATGCAAGTTTCACTTACAGTAATATTTCCATCTGTTTTCATTATAGCTATATGCTGGCTCTGAACAGGAAGTCTACTTTGTTGGCTATGTCTGTATTATGCTGGCAGCAGGACATAACAGAAAATGAGTAAAATTTGTGCACTAGTATTTGTATGTCACTGCTTTGTAACAGTGCTCATGTTAAGAAAAATGGGAGGTAAGCTCTGCAAGTCTGACTTCAGCTACATCCTCACTCATTCCTGCTGAGTTCACATATTGTCTTTCTACCAGTCACCTGCCCTAGGTTCTCACCTGGCAACCACAGTCAATGTAGCATAGACAGCACTGCACCTGGATTAGCCATGAAAATTGGTTTGAGCTCAAAACCCCTTTTTCTGTACAGCCATTAGCCTCCCCTTTTCATGTCATAGTTAATGAAGTCTTGGGGAGAATAGACCACTTTTTGTTGTTGGGAACTACCAGCACCCTGTAGAGATTAAGTATTATTACAGGGGCTACTTTGTTTTTATCAACCCTTTCTTTGGGGTCCCATGCTAGTTGGGTATAAGGATGGGAATATAGAGCCCCTCTGGGTGGTCTTACATAGACTGGCACCCCTCTCACAGGCTTCTCCGCATTTTTTTTTAAAGCAGATTTAGCATATAGTGAGTGAGGCTTTCAGCACTTCAAGATTAGTTTTACAAGGGGCTCCTTCAAGTCAGGTGTTTGCTGGTTACTTACTATTGTAGGTAGGCCTTTTTGTTTTGAAGGGTTTGAGTCCTGCTTGGGGACCTGTGAGGAATAAGCCAGCCAGCCCTGTGCTCTGCCTCCAGCAGCATGGAGTTGCTAGCCTGTACTTAGCAAAATGGTGCTCTTAGGCTCAGGATAAAATGTCAGTGGAAGGGGTACTTTTAAGTTCTTATGTACTACCTGATGCTTACCCCCCACCTTGCAGCTGACATATGGCCATCTCAGCCACAACAATTAACTTCTCTCCCTTCTTGGAGCAGAGTTTTATTTAATGTTTGTATCGCATTCTGACAGTCTATCCCAATATGCACTGTGCTGAAAGGTACTAGAATCTGTTTCTGAGGTAGAATTTGGCCTGTAGCTGCTAATCACACAAAGGAAAGAGACACAAAGAATGTTAGTTGGCTTTTATTTTAGTCTGCACTAAAATATTCTTTAAAAAATGGATGGAATAGTTCTTCAGTCATAATCTGACCTGCTATATCACAATAAGAAGTAAGAGTCCAGACAACTGGAAAAAAGTTTTGCACCATTATGAATTACATGGGAAGGGAGGAGGGAACAGTTCCTATCTTTCACATCCAGTCAGACAGAATATAACAACACATGTACTGCATTTAGGACACTGCAGCATGGTTTTATTAGGCTCTTAGCCTATACGGCTTGTTTCCAGCATTTACTAAGTGCTTCTTTCCAAAATGCTAGTCCTCACTTAAGAAATATCTTGTAATCAGGATACTATGCTCCAGTTGGCACTAAAAATATACATTAAGAGAGGGGCTACAGTGTAGCTGTCACAGTCCTGTGAGCTCATTTATACTCAGTGGACACTACTGGAGCAATAAGGACGGTTCTGGTTTCTAAGATCTGTTGGACAGTAAGTCACTGCTGGTTTGACCAGAGGTGTGACAGAGACTGGATTTCAGTCCGAGAGGAAAGGAGGAAAAAAATCACAGGAAGTCAGAGAAGAATCTCAACTCTGCTATGAATGACATAAGGAGTCTAGTCCCACATTGAACTTGAACACTACCACATTCAGCTGCTTAGAAAAAAATAAGGCATAGCCTAGCAGCTCAAGGGGTTTAAGAAAACAGTATCTTTTAAACATTTAAAGTTTACATTTTTTTGTCTAGTATTTGAAATGTTACACAGTAGTGATACAGTGTCACTTAAACAACAGTATATGTGGGAATTTCCTTGTTAGCAGAGCTTGAGTAGAACCCATGCCTTAAAGTTTGGGCAGAGAAGCTAGCTTCCCCTTCAAGTTTTCAGCAAGCTTGTCCATGAACTCAAAAGTGTTCAAGTAGTCAGAACGTGTGACACTGTGGGGGAAACAAAACAAGACAGGCATTAGTTATAAAGCTTGTCACTTTGAGCACTGAGCAAAGACTGGTCAGAGGGGTGTTTAAGCCCTTCTCTGAAACCAGCAGTCTCATCTGTTCATCAAGATTTTTTGTGAAAAGGCTCCAGAGAAGAGGTAGCTAGGTGGTAATTTGCAGTGAAGCAGGTATTTATCCTAAGAAATGGACAGGATGACATCTAGCCAGTGCACCCAGACTTAAAAAAAAAAAAAACAGCTAAGAAACCTTTATATTATTTCCCCCCTGCCAAACACTTGTCATAATAGCAGGTGCAGAGCAACCTAGACACTAAGCTACTTGGGGCAGGGAGTGTTTCATGTTCTCTGTATAGCATCAGCTGCAGAAGAGCCCAGTTCTGTGACCAAGCACCTGCAATTCCTAACCATGTCCACTACTAAAACAACATTCCAACGAACACCAAGTAAAACCAAGCCCCTTCCAAACAGAGTTGATTACTTCATTTACTTACTTAGGTAGGCCTTTGATACAGGCAGCAAGGTCTTTTGTCATGAAGCCTGATTCAATGGTCTCGATACACACTTCTTCCAGGGCAGCTGCAAAGGTCTTGAGGCTAGTGTTGTTGTCCAGTTTAGCTCTGTGAGCTAGTCCTCTGGTCCATGCAAATATAGAAGCTGAGAGAAAACACTAGATTAGTGTTCTTCTAGAACTCCTTAGATGTTGTACTAAACATATGTGGAACTGTTATTTTAACATTAGTAACACTGAAAACAGAAGGAAGTTTGGTGTTCTCTTTCCTATTACCAAACTTTTTATTTTCAGCTAGAAAAGCAGAACTTGGAAACTATCCCCTACCTCCAATCTCCTCTGTGTATCTGCAACTTTACCTTATTTTGTTCCTTCCCAAGTCAGAATGAATGACCTGTAAAGAGGCTCTGATTACAAAGAAAGCTGCCCTCATGACGGAGAACTTACGACAGCTGCCC